AGGCTGAAGACAGAGTGAGGCAAAGAGACAGACAGGAAGCCAGACTGAAGACAGACAGGCAGGCATACAGGAAGGAACAGAGACAGACACAGAGGCAGCGGGACAGACAGGCAGGAAGTCTGCATACTCACTGTCCTCTTTGGTGTAGCCAATGCAGGAGGCGGGCTGGCTGGTGCCGCTGCTGTAGACTGCGAACACCGACACTATGTAGGGGGTGTGAGGGCTGAAGGGGCCTGCAGGGGGAGACAGAGCGAGCCCTTCAGTGTGACATGAGAGGAAGGGCCCGGCACCCCCACGGTGCTGCGTGCCATTAACCTGCGAACCATCGCTGCTCTCCCCCGGACCCCCAGGACCCCCAGGGCGGGCGTACCTGCCAGCACGGTGCTCTGCTGTGTGCCGTTGACTCTCGTCCAGTCGAACCCCCTGCTGGTGTTGCGCCCCGCCTCCTTGCGCTGCACGACGTACCCCTGCAGGTGCTCCGAGCCGCAGGGCGGCGGGGCCCAGGCCACGCGCAGGGCCCCCTGGGAGCCCGCGGCGGTGACGTTGACCCACTCCGGGGGCAGGCCTGGGCGGGGACAGGGGCAGGATCAGCGCGGCGCCTCTCCGCAGGGCGGGCAGCGGGCAGCCGGCCGGGTCCCTTCACGCTCTCACCTCGCCTGCGCACGGCCAGTCTCGCCAGCCGACTGCGCCCCACAGAGTTGATGGCCGACACGTTGACCTCCGCGACCTCCGCCTCGGCCCACACGGCCTTCCAGAGGCACGGCAGAGCGAGACGGCAGGAAGGGGGCCCCCCCGCCTCACTGGAGTGGCACTCCAGACACCCGGCTCCTTCCACTGCTGGCGGGTCGTCTGTGGACACGTTCACCCAAGCGCTGCCTCCGTCGGCCCACCCCACACCCACCTCGTACTGCCGCACCCTGCCCCGCGCCAGGGGGGCGGGCATCTCCTGCGACAGAGGGATCCGGTCAGTACACTGCCGGGGTCAGTGGGGACAGTAACACCCAGACCTGCACCCAGCCCGGCTCGGAGAGCCATTGCATCACGCTGGTCGCAATACTCAAAGAGCTGAGCGAAGGAACACAGATAAATCACGCCTTACCTTCCACACCACAGCCAAAATAGGGTCTCTGTCACACCACAGGTCCAGCTCTCCATCCGGCACTAAGGGAGAGAAAGAGCTGCCCTGAAGGAAGGGGGTCTGTGTAGTACAGAGTGACAAGAAGGACTGCTTGATTTACCCATGCTTCCCATAGTCAAGTAGCACTGAACTACAGCTCCCAGGCACCGTAGAGTCTTTGCAGCGCTGGACTACAGCTCCCATGCACCCTAGAATCAGGCAGCACTGGACTATAGCTCTCAGACTCACCATCCTCCGCACTCAGCACAGTGCAGGGCCTGCTCCAGTCACTGAAAGGTGTTTTCTCCACGTCACTGCCTGTGACACAGCGCACCTGGAAGTGGTGATGGGTAAAAGGCTGGGAGTTGTTCAGGATAAAGTCAGCCTGACCCACAGAGTCATCAGTCACCTGAAGAACACAAACACGCCAAGTTCAATACGCCAGAGACAGGCAGGCAGGCAGACGGGGACAGACAGGCACGTGAGTTCTCTGCTTTCTCACCTCAGTCCAGTCCGACTGGTTGTTGACCGAAAATCTCACCTCGCAGGTCTGGTCACAGTTTTCCGGGGGGCAGTTCCACAAAATGAAGATATCTGAGTTATCTTCCAAGAAACATGCCAGCACAGGAGGGGCAGGCTTTTCTGAGAGAGAGAGAGGGGCAGGCAGAACAATCTGGTCCTGAGAGAGTGCGCGAGAGGGTGACTTCATGACAGAGTGAGAGAGTGAATGGGTTAGGAGACAGTGAGGCAGACCACTGCCAGCGGGGAGAAACAGAGACAGAGGTGCACTTCCTACTGCACCGTGACAGATACTCTGGAATAAGAGAAACATTCTTTCCCAAATTTATACAGCTAATCCCAGAATTCCCACACCTGCCAGAATCACAACGGGTCCCAATCCTACTGGGAGAGGGAGGAGGGAACTTTGTTGAACTGGCAGCCCAGTATGTGATCTCCTGTCACAGCCTGAGGAACAGTGAGCTTCTCTCAATAATGCTCCATATTTTTATATGTAAATGTATTATGATGTGTCTATATTGGGAATGTCTGTAGATTTTATGTTAACTGTATTTGTTTTGCTTTGGCAAC